GGGAAGTGGTTGAGTCACCATCCCTGGAAGTATTTAAAAGACGTGTAGATGCGGCGCTTAGGGACATGGTTTAGTGGGCATGGTGGTGTTGGGTGGACGGTTGGACTGGATGATCTTAGAGGTCTTTTCCAACCTTAATGATTCTATGATTAGGTCAGTGGGACAATTCTAAGAATTAAAACAGGTACTAGTTAATTAATGGTAATATATACCTATTACTGCATCTTACAGCTGTCTTTGAATGATACTTTTCTTACTGAGCTTGGCCCTTCCTAGTGGAGAGGGGAAGTAGTTATGCTGCCACTTAAATGAAGTTAGATAATGCTATTTCAAATGGAACCGTCCATAGCCAACAAGCTTTTGCTTTTCAGTTCAGCCTCTTGTTGACAGCAAGGGTTTTCTCTTCAAGTATGTGTAGAAAGTGTCTTCATTTAATAATGACCTTGCTATCTGACAATCAAAGAACTAGTGATAAAGCCCAGTCTATATTGCAGCCTCTAATATTATGGTTTAATAGGAAGCCATGTCTTGCCTGAATTTAATCAGAATCGTCTGAATTTTTTTATGTAGATCTTTCATTTTGGCATGCCCTGGAATTCACCTATGTGAATGTTTATGGCACTAATGTGCTGGTTGCTGCTGCGCATGAAGCCAATGTGGAGAAGTTTGTCTATGTTAGCACAGATGAAGTATATGGAGGTAGCACTGATGAGGTGAGTTTGAAAGTGGATGAGGGTTTTTCTAGCTTTACTTGCTTTTAATAGTGAAAACAAAACGAGTCTAACTTTCCTTGGCCTCTGTAAATGTATGACTTTCAAGCTATTTCTGACAATACTGGAACTTGTAAACAAACACTTTTTTCCTAGAAAGTTAAGTATCAAAATTGTCCTGTATTTTTTTTATAGCATGTTTTATATTGAATGTGTATTACCTAAAGCAGTGAGATTGGGGTCGTTAATGACATGTGAATACTACTCAGAGATAGTATCAAAGGAATGTATTATACAAATTTTGCCTTGGAGCATTCATGAGACTTCAGTAATGTGCATGTTGTGTTGTGTGGTTTGGTTTTTTGTGTGGGGTGTGTGTGTTTGTTTGTTTATTTTTTCCTGCTCTGCCTTGAGTATGAACTTGACAGGCAGGGAACTGTTTTATACTCTAGCTAAAATACTAACAGAACTGTAGGTACTGACAATTCGAACACTTCCTGTATTACTAGAAGAAATATGCAGATGTTTCTTGTTGCTCTATGGAAATCTTTTGATTCTTGCCAATTTATGCCTGACCTTAATTCAGGAAATGTAATTTAGCTCAGTAAAAAGACAAATTATGCATGCTCGTCTTTCTAAAGGTGTAAATAATGACCAAGGAGTCTTGTGCCATAATCCATGAAATACTAATGTATTTCAGAGAAGTCACGTGCAGTTTCTTATTGTTGCAATGTCTTTATCAGTTCCTTCAACACAACTGCAATCTGTAGACTTTTATGATACCTAAGGATGTTGTTTTTCTGCATGTAGACCAGTGGTTTGGCTGAGACAACTTTCAAGTGATCTTTTTCTGCCTCTGGGCCTTGAAAAGAGCACTTCCGTTTAATCTGTTTTTTGTTCTCTTTGTGAATCATAGTAGAAATTCTTGAAGAGTTTTTTGGGGGGGAGGAAGGTCAAAAAGTAAATTGGGGTCAATTAATTTCAGAGGCAAAGGTCAGACAAGAACAGTGAGTCTTTTAATCACATGTTAAGGTGATTGTTATGAATTGCAACTCAGGCAGCGTAGAATCCCTCCTTTCTTTGGTTCATTATTGGGTTTTTTGGGTTTTTTTTAAGCGATAAGTAGATAGAAGTGGCAGGATAGCCATGAAGCTACCTATTCTGGAACAGGTCAGAATTGTTCAAGCCTTGCTTTGGAAGGCTTTGGGTTGAAATTCTACTTTTCTTATAGAAATCAAGTTTATGGAAAAGGGAGAATGGACCCCTTTTATTTAGGACTGAAAGGTCAATTTGCTAGCTGTGGTGCAACAGCACTCTGAGGCAATATGAGCCTGTAAAGGATTGAACCTCCCTGTGGCAACAGTGATTATTTTACAAGATAAAAATCTAAGGACCTGCTACTGTGAGGTACTCTGCTAGAAGTATAAAAATATTACTGCTGGTATTCTAGCCGCCTCCTGTGTTTGATAAATAGACTGTCTTTTGTTATTGGTCTTCTGCTGTAAGTGGAAGAGTGACTTTCTCAGACTCATCTGCTTGGATATTTAGGGATTTTTATTTCGGTTGCAACTTCAGCTTTTGTAACTTTAAGACTTACCTGGGCAAAAGAAATGGAGTAATGCAGATTTTTCTTTTCATTTTAGGAATTTGATGAATCCTCACCAAAACGTCCAACGAATCCCTATGCCTCCTCTAAAGCAGCTGCAGAGTGTTTTGTTCAGTCCTACTGGGAAAGGTACCAAGTAAGTTGATGCAAGCTTCAAAAACTCTGAAGCCCATACTTAAGTGTCTGTATTATGTATACAGGAGTATAAAAGAAAAATCAGTACTAGTCCACACAGTGCCACCTCTTTCCTGATTGCTAGTCTTGTAGTTTGGATGTGTCGGAGGCTGTCCACCACTTATTGGTGGAGATATGCTGCAAGACAGTGGGGAGAGGTCAAATGTGTTTAAATTTTTTTGAAAATCTGAACTGTAATGTCTAAAAATGTTCTGTGATAAAATGGTCAAAGAGAACATTAGCAACTTAAAAAAACGGTGTTAAGCTTGAAGGAAATCTGTTTATACAGAAGTAAACACGCAAAGTTCAAATTGTATTAAGACTAGGCTTATAGTGAAAGCAAAAAAAAAAAAGAAAGGAAAAACCCCCTATTACTCAAATTTGTTTCAGAAAAAATATTTAAAATTTTGAATACTTCAGCCTTTTGTTCTTGACACATCCTTCTGCAGTGTTGTTTTTGACATAAAGCTGACTTGAATAAGATGTTAATGACTGTGAAACATTTTCTTGGAATAAAAAGTAGTAAGCCGGTCTTCAGTCAATCAGATACATGTATGTAATGTCCTATGGTGGTTCCATAGCAAGACTGAGATTACAAACATTTGTTACTTATGGTGCTTCTAACAGACTGAGAAGGCTGGAGGCCCTTGCCTATTTGACGGAAGTATGGATAGCTTAATTTGTTATAGTTTGTAAGGGCTTGCAGGTTTTTGAATAAGCACACAGTGGGTGTGTGAGTTTATTGATCAGCAAGAAGCCTACAGGTTTTTACTGGTATATATTTTCTTATATAATCACAAGCATGTTTAATGCTCTTAAGTTCCCAGTTGTTATCACACGGAGCAGTAATGTTTATGGACCACACCAGTATCCAGAAAAAGTAAGTTAAACTGATGCTTTACTCTGAGCTTCAGTATACCATAATTTTGGGTTGTAGTGATGTTACTTTTTTCTCATAAGAATGGACTGACTTTTGAAAAAAGCACTGTCTTGCAAGTGTATTTGTCCACACTTACCTGTGATTATCTATTTTGATCTCACACTAATGTGTCTTACCATCAACACAATGAACATGTTTTTTGGTTGTCAGTAAAGCATCAATTAGAGATTTCTAGTTATTTACGTGAATTTCACTTTGTTTTGTAACTTTTTTAGTTTTCAAAGGATATTTAACTGAGTTGTGTCTGGCAGGGTTCCCCTACAAATTACATTAACTCACATGTCATGCGCTGTAATGAGGAATGTTTAATAACAAAGGTAAACATTTCAAAAAGTAAATTGCGAGAGAGCAGTATGTCTGGTATAGAAAGAGATGTTCCAACTGTACAGAAAATAGATAAGATGAAGCTATAGCAATCGGATATATGGTGAGAAGTAGCGCAAAGCAACTTGTTCTTTGCGTGTGTCCATACATACCTTGCAGGGTAACTATTTAAAATGGTTATTAGTGAGAGGGAGTTGCCTTTGTAGGCAGTGCCCGGATCTGCTATGCTAGCGAATGGAAATACACTGATGGAATGATAGTGATAATCATATGTACTTCTTGGAGTTGGGAGCTTGTGTGAAATGTAGCTATATTTTGCAGTTCTAGTGAGATATTTTTTAATTTGAATTGCTTTTTATGTGTTGGGGGTTTTTTGCAAATAAATTTTGTTTTTTCCCAAAAAAAAAGCAATGATTTTTAAAATATGTTTTTCACTGATCTGTGGCTTGGGAAATGTCTGGCTACAGGTTGCATGATGTTGGGAGTATATTCAGGGGATGTATCACTATTTACTTGCTTTCAGCTTGTATATATTCTTCCTCAAGTATCCACTGTTAGTTACTGCTAAGAACACAATACTAGGCTAGATGGATCTTTAGTTTTACCTAGTATGTCTGCTCCTATGTTTAGAGTAGTAAGTTAACAAAATTAAAAGAATTGGAGTAGCTTTCTCATGGCTTCAGTTTAAAAACTTTAATAGTGGAGCCAACTGTTCTGAACTTTCTGGGACATTATGAATGGATCTAAGCTTGTAGCTGATTGTAATATTGTAAATCTTTATGGCCAAGCTAGTGGCTATCATTTGATCCGTGTTTACTTATCTTGAAATTCTCTATTGGTTCTCTTCTGAATGTAACTATTTTAATGACTCTTACTTTTTGACAATAGGTTTACTGCAACTTGCTGGATGTTTAAACCATATTTTAAACTGTTTGTAATAGTCATCCCTAGTCAGACTCTAGTGCACTTCTGTGCGCGAAAAGTAATGGAACCACTTTCTTTTGTAAAAATGTTACACTTGTAACTACTGATTTGTAATGGTTGACCAGAAAGATAAGTTTTACAACACAACAGAGGCATCTACTCTTGGAAAAACAAACAAACAAACCCCAAATCCTTGCAGTTTCTAGGCTTGATGCATTCTTTGATTAGACTTAAGAAAACTTAAAAGTATTTAAAGGGTCTTACTAAAATACTGAATGATACTTACTGGTGAAGCCCCATGTTCTTTGCAGAATAACAGCTTCTAAAATAGCGGAGTAATTTTTTTTTGTTCAATTCCTTAGGTTATTCCAAAGTTTATATCTTTGTTGCAGCAGAACAGAAAATGGTATGTAATTTGCATTTTTGTTTATGGCATTTGTGTTATAAAACTGTAATTACAGTTATAAATACATGGTATAGTTTGTAAAATGATAATTTCATAACTAAGTTATGAATGGCTTATTTTAATAATAGGATTTCCTTAAAAAAGTAAAGGATTTTTTGCATGTCAGCTACTTAAGTTACCTTCAGGTAACGGCTAACAGCAAAACTGCTTAAAACACAGTCTAATGAAATGAATGCTTCTGTTTAAGGATTAACAAAAATTTCTTGCCTTTTCCTGGTTTTAAGCTGTATTCATGGTTCTGGACTTCAAAGAAGGAATTTTCTTTATGCGACTGATGTGGTAGAAGCATTCCTTACTGTCCTGAAGGAGGGGAAGCCAGGTGAAATTTATAACATTGGAACTAACTTTGAGATGTCCATTGCCCAGCTTGCTAAGGAGTTAATCCATTTAGTGAGTAAACAGTTACGTTGCTTTTCTTTACCAGTCATTGCACATATGAACAATTCTACTATAAACCTTTTGTAGCTCTGAGAGAGCTTAGGCTTGTGGTGGGTCTTAGAAGATAGTTGTAGCAGAATGATGTGCTACCCTTTCTGTGGCAGCTGTACTATGTCAGTTTGCAGTACAGGCTATTGTGCGTTGCACTGCTGCATCAGTTATCCTGTCTGGGACATAACTGGCATAATGATTAAATGCCTTTTGGTAGGGGTTTTTTCATGCTGGCTGCTTCACTTTTGATCTGAGAATGCGGCACTATTCAAATCTAACAATTTGATTATGAATGGTTAGGCAGTGCTCGGATGAAGGGTAAGTACTGGAATTGTTCTAGATAGTTTTGATAATTTCAGTAGTTTGAAAACTCAGTTTAGAAAAAAGACTATTTCTGTGTGTTTTTTTTTTTTAACAGACTTAAATCTTGTAAAAAAAAAAAAAAAAAAAAATCTGTCTTTAAATGTATGTTAAGACAGTGCAAGATGTGTGGGGTGACTTTTTGTTTCTCTTCTTGACAGATAAAGAAGACCAGTTCGGAATCTGAAATGGAGCACTGGATGGATTATGTCAAAGACAGGTAAGAAAATAGTGAAGCACATGCAGGATAACTTTATCCTGAAGGTTTCTGGGTCTCTTGCTGAATAGTTTTTTGTGAAAGTGTTTCTGCTCTGCAGGAGGGAAAACTTTTGAGGGAGCAAGACCTGTTTTGCTTTCTTAATTTTTTTTTTTTCCTAGTGGATTTGACATCTATGATCTGTATAGAATGCTATAGAAAAACAGGATTTCCATTTATTATTTGGATCGTTAGGTCAGAGTATACGTCTTGAAGGGGAATACGTAATGCTAATCTGTCTGTCTCCAAATTTTCTTCAGACTTCTCACTACTGACGTCTGCTCTGGGAAAAGGACAGGTTTTACACAGCGGCTAAACCTTTTCTTAAGGGTAGTTTGGACGGTTTATTCAGTACTTTGTATTCAACATCACTTGAGTGAGATGAATCCCATCATCCCTCATTTAGCTTTAGTATTCTGACATTAATGTGACTAGTTCAGACTTAGACGTGCTTTACAGGTAAGGCCCACTCTCCACAGGCAGAAATACGCACCAGCGGAGTGTAGTTAATTTTAGATTCCTATCTTAGGCTGAAATGGCTATCTCAAAAGTAGATGTAAAACTCTGAGGTGCCAAAGTTAGGGCGGCAGCAAAAATGGATAGCTTTTATAAATATGCTTTTGCTGTGTGTTTCCATCCTTAATTTCAGGCTTGGTTTGGCTCTGTTCTTTTATCTCCATTTCTTTTCTGCAGCAACAATGAGTCTCTGCTTACTTTAAATACCACTCTCTTTCTCCAGAGTGATTAGAAATGACGTATCTGCTGATAGCAGTTAAGTATTATTACGGCCTTTAGAATTCTCACTTTCTGTTCACATTTGGATTGTTATCATGGCAACTGAAGTGTCTTTAAATGTCCTAATTTTTGTTTTTTAAAAGCAAGTGTTCTTCAGAATCCTATCCGAGTGTATCGCAGGACTTTGAACAAATTGCCTTTGGCTCACATGATGTGAGTGTTCAGTAGGTCTCAGTGTAATTCAGATTGAGATGTTTCTTCATGTCTATTGGGCCCTGTCCACTAATGTTTAAACATAAATGGGCTTGGGAAAACTAACCACTTAGGAATACATATTTCAAAGAATGTTGAGGCCTTATAAAAGATTCTTAAGATACCTAACTAATGATTATTTAATTCTATAATGAGCGACTTAAAGGTCATAGGGCTTACTTGCCCTGGAAAATTTTTTTCTACTTCTGCTTGAGATTAGCATGTTTTAATAACGGTGACAAGTAGCTGGTTTCTGTCCGCACGTGTAGCTTAACTATTCAGTATGCTAGTGCCAGTAATCCAGGAATGCTAGACTAGACTACCTAACTGCCAGAGTGTGGAATTGAAAATTTGTGCCGTGCTTAAATGTAGGGAATTTCTTTCCATGTTGAAACTTGCAGCCTGGGATTCTACATATTCAGTATTACTAAGTTTGTGTAGCTAATGAAGCACTGCTTTGGAATGACAATGCTTTGGAAGTCTATGTATTTCAGATCTGAAGCATGTGGAAAATTTGTGGGCTTTCAGGCTGAAAAATGTGAATGCTGATATTGGAAAACACTGGCTTGGAAAACTGTCTAAAGAGTTGCGAATGCACTGATTTGCACAATTGCATTGGCAGCGATTTTGAGTTTTGCATTCACTTTTGTGCCAATAAGATATTAATTCATGTTTATTATAGTCAATTCCAAGTAGTTGACGGTACAAACTGAATTGTATTGTTGTAGCTGCACTCAGCTGCCGCGTACTTTTGAAGGCAATGTAATCTGTCCATGTTGATGGGAATTTTCAAAATTGAAGCATACCTGACGTTGGTTTGAAGACAATGTGAGGTACTGCATGTCTAATTAATGAAAAAGTCTAATCAAATTGTTTCCTGTGTGCATTTTATACTTCATCAGACCTACCAATGACCTGAGGTACCCAATGAATTCAGAAAAAATGCACAACTTAGGATGGAGACCTAAAGTGCCTTGGAAAGAAGGAATAAAGAAAACAAGTAGGACTGGTGCCTTTTACGCTAATTGATTTAGAAGTGATGGGAGGAGGGAAAGGGGGGAAATGGGTATATAGGTTAGTTAATGAGAAGCTAAAGAGAATGAATTTAACACTTAAATTTTACATAAAATTGGCTGCTTTTTAAGTAGTGAATTTACCTCATTAAAAAAAAAGGTTAATTGTAATAAAGTAGCATCAGGTACTAGAATTAATGACTCTTTAATGCTAGAATAGGTCTTACATAAAGAATTTATAAAATCTAAACCAGATTTTTTTTAATATTATAAGTTAGAATGTTACATAATGAACTGTTAGCATGTTGTTAGTCTTATGATATCTGTGGCATATTTGAATTCCCCCGTTATCTGTGTCAACTTGACTCATCAGCATTCTCTTCATACTAGTTGAATGGTACAAAGAAAACTTTCACAACTGGAAAAACTCAGAGAAAGCTTTGGAGCCCTTTCCTGTGACAGAGCCGTTTGCACAGCCCAGTGGTCCATAGGGTGGCGGACAACCCGAAGGAATTTATTCTACCTCATACCGTCTTTTCTTCGAAGCCTGCAGTCAAGTGGCCGCACTGAAGTCTTCATGTATTCAAGATACATGAACCATGACGAATACAGAAGTACAGTACGGCGCAACTTTGGAAGGGTTTCAGCACTTTATGAGTTGAACCTGTTAATTTCAGCTTTTGGTGCAATACTATCTTCTCACTAGGTATTGATTTTAAAGAACTGTACAGGGTGAAGAATATTTATCGTGCTATAAATTAGTGTAATGGATGTCAAATCTGCCTTATTAATTTAGAATAATTAATTGCGATTACAGCTTTTGGGACTTTCAATGAAACTTGTTTTAGTTCCAGAATCGTTCATCTGTATTGGTCTGTTTTTAAAGTGACAAAAATAATATATTACACTGTAAAGAGTTGTGTTTTATTTTTAATCAAGGGGGAAAATGCTGTATTTTCTGGAGAGTATAAATCAGTTGATAAAAGCTAGATACGGCACTCGTATGGTTCAGTCCTTGTCTCAGTTGGTGCAGTATTACCTTCTGTAGATGACTGATTAAACTGTTACCTACTCTATAACTTTAAATGCCCCTTTTTTGAAGGGGGTGGGGGGGAAGGTGTCAAGAAGTAGCAGGTGTTCTTGCTGAGATTTCCAGAAGCATTTTCTTAAACTTTGCTCTGTTTTAGATGTCATCTTTTTACTGTATTACTGTCTTTTACATGTAAAATTTCCTTTTCTTAACTAATCGTTACAAACTTGAAATACTGTAACACAGTTAACATTCCAGTGATGTTATTTCTTGTGATATGAAGGCTATTTATGGAGACAAATTTTAAACACTTCTTTTCCTGTGAATTGTGGGTAGGCACACGTTATTCAATGCAGTGTTTCGCAATTTTTTTTTTTGGTGACAAACATTTTAAAGATGAAACAATATTTGAGTTTTAATGTAAAATTTGGGAGGAAACCAGTTCTAGAAGTATGTCAATGAATCTTTTTCAAAGTTGATTTAGTAATAAGTTATTGTGTAACTGGTTTCTCTTAATTAAGTGAACACGTTGAAAAAGTAGATGGTGGGTATTTTTTATATTTGTTAATTTTTTCAGGATACAGGAAGAACTATCTTCGCTGTTTTGGCTTTGAGGTGGCAGACATAGAAGGGAAAACTCTTCTTGGTTTTATCACTTCAGCTTCTGTACTTGGCACAGTCCCAGACCCTTCTGTTGCCCCTGGGTAGAGCTGCAGAAGCACAGGGCTAGGATGCTGCGCTGTACTCGGAAATCGCTGCGACTTCCCAAGTCTCGGAAACTGGGAGTTAAGTCTCAAAACATAAGTATGTGGAAAAGCCCTTTCCTCATCACCCTAAGTGCAGGAAGAATGGAGCTTGGGGCATTGGCCTTAGCTTTGCCCCTGCTAGAGTTTCGTCAGTAACTGAACGTAAAACTTAATAGTACTGACCCAGGTAGCCTACGGGTAGTGCTGCTGTTGGACCCACAGTGCTCCCAGCTTCATCACACCTCTTGTGTGTTGTGTGGTGCTGTTGATGAAATACCATGCTTGGTTGGTAAGAGTCATCTTAAAAGAAGGCTAAACAGTAAGCGTCTAGGCTTACCTTAGCACCAAGTATGTGTTCTAAAGTCTGGGATTGTGTTACTGAAGGTGAGTTTTCTGTGACAAGGTGGGATAATACTGCTATACTAGAATTGGGTTGCACTTGTGTTTTTTGGGCATTTCTGATACTTGGTTTGGTAGTCAAAACCTCCATTTGGGAAGGACAGAAGTTACAGGACTTCGTATGTACAAGTCTATTAGAATACTGGGCTTACCAGATGCTTGGAGTCATAGAATAGTTTGGGTTGGAAGGGACCTCTAAGGTCATCTAGATGACCTTAAAGGTCATCTAGTCCAACCCCCCTGCCATGGGCAGGGACATCCATTGCTCAGAGCCCCGTCCAACCTGACCTTGAATGTTTCCAGGGATGGGGCATCCACCACCTCTCTGGGCAACCTG